TAACGTCACAGAATTAGACGAGAATTCTTCAAAACTCACCGACAGTCAGTGCAAGAATTGGAACTGGCTCATAAGGAGGTCAAGATAGAACTAGCACTGAAAAAGAAACTAAGGTGAGTGGGCATTTTTTATGAGACGTCATGAGTAAACTTTGAGATTTGAGCAGTTGTCAATCTGAACTCTGAATGAACGAATTTTAAAAGATCTGAACATCAGGGAAGCTTGGCTTATAAACAGCATCTTACCTCAGAGGCTGAAATATTTTGGCCATATCAAGCACCACGGCAGATTGGAAAAAATATAATAGCAGACAGACGGTACCAGGAATCAGGGGCAGGGGTTGACGAACATGAAGATTGGCACAGGAAGGAAATAAATGACTACTTGGATATGAAAGTGCACAAGATGGGATAGCTGGCAAGAGATGAGTTTTTTTCAGGCTGACTGTGATGAGAGCGACATTATGTAAAGCACCTGCCACATGATGATGGTGAGTGAACTGAAAGTTAATATTAATAGTTAAGCATTATGTTTTTACATGAGAACTCTGAGTGAACTTAATGTTAATAATGAGAGTTGAAGACTCATTTTTTACCTGAAACAGGGTGAACTTAAAGTCAGCACTGAGAGCTGAGTATTCTGATTTTACATGAGAACTTGAATGAACTTACAGTTAACATTGAGAGTTCCAGGGTTTTTACAGGAGAACTCTTGAGTGAATTTGAACACTGATAGTCAATTTAGTTTCGCTCCACCTGAGAACTTGAGCGAATTCAACATTAATTATTAAGATTTGAGTTATTAGTTTTTACATGAGAACACTGAGCGAACTTAAACATTGAGAATAAAGTATTAGTTTTACCCTGCATGAGAAATTGAGGGAATTTAATTAAACAAATTGAGATTTAAACTGTCATTTTTACCCGAGAACTCTGAGTAAGCTTACAACTTACAGTTGATTGTCTAGTTTTTAACTGTAGAACTCTGAATAAACTTGAAGGAATACATTGAAAGTTGAAGATAGTTTTACATTGGAACTTTAAGGAATCCGCAGTTAACACTAAGATTAACAAACTTCCTTTTACACATTGCTAACTGATAATTTAAATTCTGTGCATTTACACTGTATTTTTTTATAAAACCTTCCATTTACCCTGTTCACAATCTGCTAGTGTTTGGATATATTCAAGAATTTAAGAAATTATAGCTGCAAGGATTGTTCCACATCTTACAAATACAGTAAATCCTTGATTTAATGGACATTGATTTAACCAATCTTAATTTAATATGCCCGTTTTAATGGATATTTACTCAACTGTTGACTGACTTTAATTTAACAGATATTTATTTAATGGACTTTGATTTAAAAGGCCTTTATTTAAAAGATTTTGAGTTTAACCGACAAATAATTAAAAACAGCACATTCATAATTTTATTTTGTTCTTCTTCTTTTGTCAAAATCTGCTTGTGCCGCTAGGCGTCGCAGTCTATCAGATGATCGGCAACCGAGCCAGGGCGTGCTCAGTCGCTTCATATGCCGTGATGTTATGAAGTCTCAAGTTGTCCGTGACTCCTTCAACCCATCTTCTTCTTGGTCTTCCCCTGCCTCTTGGTGTTTCGATTTTCATGTTGTATGCTCTTGATGCTGGCATCGTTGGTTCCATTCTCATTAGGTGACCAAACCATTTCATTCTTTGCTTCTCAATAAATTTAACGATGGGTATGGTTCCAATAGTTCTTGTAATCACATCGTTTCTCACTCTATCTCTTCTGGTTTTATTCGCAGCCATTCTCAAACATCTCATTTCACAGGTGGTTAGTCTTCTCTCGTGTTCTTTTGTTAATGTCCAAGTCTGACATTGATAACCTAATGTCGGTATAAAGATTGTATTTATAATTTGTCTTTTTATCTCAGCTGGGACAGCAGGGTGTTTTAAAATTGGGGCAAGCTGGTATGCGACATTGTTGGCTTGTTGGATTCTTGCTTCGATCTCTCTGTCTATTTTACCATTGAATGTAAAGATACTTCCCAAGTATTTAAATTCTTGCACTTGTTTTAGGCTGTGATCTAGAATCTTTAAGTCAATGGTCTGTTGCTCTCTACTTATGCTCATGACTTTTGTCTTTTCAGTATTGATCTTCATATGATGCTTGAGGCAACTGTCGTGTAGTAGGTTTATGTGGTCTTGCAGCTGTTTACTATCACTGTGAAATATGCATTGATCGTCGGCAAAGAGCAGCTCATTGAAGTCCTTCTGTTTATCGACATCTGTTGGTGTTATGTCTATTTTATTAATATTGTCCATAAATATTATGAAAAGTAAAGGTATTTTGTTAACAATTTATATTTTGTTTCTTCTTATGCCTTTCATCTCTCAGCAAAGCATAGACCCTCGGCAGACTAACTCCAAACCACTTTTGTGTTTCCGAGAACTTTTGTTTCAAAATTTAAAATAGGATTATATATTATTGTTTAGCTACCCATTCTTCTTTTATTATAGTAGTGAGGGTTATTTAAAAGCTGCTTAGATGTGGTCTTAATGATTAATGATGAGAATACCATGGACAGATGAGAGTGTTGAAGATGTCTTGAAAGAAACTGACTCATGAAGAGAACTGATTGCCCACATAAGAAGGAGACAATCTACATTCTTTAGTCCTGTCTGAGAAGCCAACTGATTGCCCACATCAGAAGGAGATAATCTACATTCTTTAGTCCTGTCTGAGAAGCCAACTGATTGCCCACATTAGAAGGAGATAATCTACATTCTTTAGTCCTGTCTGAGAAGCCAACTGATTGCCCACATTAGAAGGAGATAATCTACATTCTTTAGTCCTGTCTGAGAAGCCAACTGATTGCCCACATCAGAAGGAGATAATCTACATTCTTTAGTCATGTCTGAGAAGCCAACTGATTGCCCACATTAGAAGGAGACAATCTACATTCTTTAGTCATGTCTGAGAAGCCAACTGATTGCCCACATTAGAAGGAGATAATCTACATTCTTTAGTCATGTCTGAGAAGCCAACTGATTGCCCACATCAGAAGGAGATAATCTACATTCTTTAGTCATGTCTGAGAAGCCAACTGATTGCCCACATCAGAAGGAGATAATCTACATTCTTTAGTCCTGTCTGAGAAGGAGAAAACTAGAATACATTGTGACAGTGGGAAAATTGGAAGGGAAGAGAGGCAGAGAGAGAGAGAGAGAGACCAAGAGAGAAGATGCTGGACAGATTTGCATCATGGCATGCATGATCGTCAGTGTCAGAGATGATTGAAAGTATACAAGACAGAAGGTTGTGGATAAACAGTACTACCAACGCCACACAGAAAGGACTTAAGGAAGAAGTGCCATTGGTGCTCTTGTTTTTTAAATAATTATTTTTCCTTTGTTTGAAAATTCAGGAAATCTTTTATTTTTGGAGGAGTATTGTAAGTTATATTGCTTCTCAAAAATTGTTGCAGCTTGTTTCTTTTTCTTTTCTTTTCTTTTGTGTGGCTGTTGCAAGGTTAAACTTTCTGTCATGTAAAACCAAAAATGTTAATACAGCTTTTTCTCATATTTCTAAAACTCATTTAATTTAAAATGATTATTTATGTAAAATAAGCTGTATCCAATTAGAAGAAATTAAATGAATAATTCTTTGTGGGGGTTCCATGCCCCCAGTTTGGGGGTGGAGGGGGGTGAAATGGGCCCAATGCATCTTAAGCATGTTGTAAAAAAGAACTAATTATGGGTTTGCTGAAATCTGACCTGCACACAGTTTGTGACAACTACACTAGTTAGGTGGCCTGAAAGCCTCGGGCTTACGACCCTTCCCCCTTCCCCACCCGTACTACCCCAACTAGTGGTGAATACAGGCAGTAAAAAAAAGTATAGGAAAAACAATTTGTTGACTGCTAGAAGATGAACTTTTATTGGCAGAATTTAACATTTATGTGCGATTCGCATCATTTTGCTCTCTTCTAGTTCTTTATTATTATAGTTAGATATTGTGAGGACCCTTTGGAAGCGAGTGAACAGTGCAGAGGCACAGATAGATCATTACGGTCTAAGGAGAATGGCGCTGCAAGGAGTTACCAGGGGATCTGGCCGACACTCAACACTCAGAGGAATGATGAGACAGATATACAATCAGACTGTCACTGGTACCATCGGAATTGGAACTCTTCGCTTGCTGCTGAAGATGGGGACTGAGCACTTATGGGAGTGTCCCGAGTGCTGTGATGTCAATTCTTAATTCAACGTTCAACATATTATTATAGTGATTGTTTTTTTTTTAAACAATGAATTTTTAGTGGGAATGGGTGTCATAAAACTCATCTAATTAAGGGTGTTTCTTTCAAAGTTGGTGTGCATCCGCCTGAGAGGCAAGCAGCCTGTAAGTAAGCCAGATCTGTAAAATTTGATATGGACGCATAACTCAAATTCTGTAATATGACATAAGTCCAAAGGTGGACAAACAACCAGAACTTTTTTTTTGGAGTTTACAATTGGTGAATAGCAAAAACTGGGAATGTTTGATACTTGTATATCTGAGTTCTATGATTTACATTCACGTATTCAGAGTTATTGAAATTAACACATAAAGAGAAGTAGCTGGTTGAATAGTTAAGACTGCTGGGCTTTGACTCTAGAAACTGTAGTTCAGATCCTCATAAAGATGATGGATTTTTCTATTGGAACCAAAAATACAATCCTAACCTGCACCGTTTGTGGTGAGTGCACAAGCTATGAAGCCCTCAAATCTCAGGCTGAAGAGCCTCATGATCTACCCCGCCCTACCTGTCCTACCCTGCCCTAAAAAGTGGTTGATACAACTGTAAGACCCATTTTGTCTGTTGGGGGGGGGGGGGACGTAGACACATAGAAGTTCACTGACTTCTAGTGTTTAATATTATAAATAACAGGTTGTAGCTGGTGTCAGAGATCTTTGATTTACTTTCAGATTTTACAGTTATTAAATTTAGCATGTAGACGCTGATTTACTTGTAGTGTTTTGAAGTTATAAGTGACGGATTGTAAGTGCAAGTTGTAAATATTTGTATATAAGAGTTCTATAAATAACATTTGTATAGAGTTCTATGAAGACCATTTTAATGTTCAAAGCATTTAACAAATGCTTATTTCTAGTTTTGATTTTTTTAAACATGTAATGGGTTTAAATGCGAGTTGCAGGTGCTTGTATATAATAGTTTTGTAAGTCGCATTTTTATGTTCAATGTTACTCCATCTAACTTATGTTTACTTTTACTTTTTTTTTTTTAAATAAATAATTTGTCATGAGTGGGTTACCTGCTTGTTAACTCTTTTGACCTCTGAGTATCTTGAAAAACTTGTAACTTTCTTGACCCATTCTGTGGCAGACAAATTTGCGTGCGTGCGTGCGTGCGTGCGTGCGTGTGTGTGTGTGTATATATATATATATATATATATAAAAAATAACCACAGCCAAGTAGTTGTAATGTTCTTCACCTATTCTATGCTTAACAAATTAGCATATAAAACAGTGGCTAAAGACAAGCCTTTGTAACTTACTTGGACCATCCAATACCAGAAAATTAGCATATATAGAATAATGACTACAGTCAAGTACTTCTAACTTTCTTGAGCCATTCTATCAGATTAGTATATAAATAGAACATTGATTTAAATCAAGTATTTGTAACATTCTTGACCTATTCTATAGCAGACAGATTAATGTATTGAGCAACAACTGGAATCAAGTATATGTAACTTTCTTGACCCATTCTATAGCAGACGGATTAATGTATTAAGCAATAACTTGAGTCAAGTATGTGTAACTTTCTTGACCCATTCTATAGCAGACGGATTAATGTATTAAGCAATAACTTGAGTCAAGAATGTGTAACTTTCTTGACCCATTCTATAGCAGATGGATTAATGTATTGAGCAATAACTTGAGTCATATATGTGTAACTTTCTTGACCCATTCTATAGCAGATGGATTAATGTATTGAGCAATAATTTGAGTCAAGTATGTGTAACTTTCTTGACCCATTCTATAGCAGATGGATTAATGTATTGAGCAATAACTTGAGTCAAGTATGTGTAACTTTCTTGACCCATTCTATAGCAGATGGATTAATGTATTGAGCAATAACTTGAGTCATATATGTGTAACTTTCTTGACCCATTCTATAGCAGATGGATTAATGTATTGAGCAATAACTTGAGTCAAGTATGTGTAACTTTCTTGACCCATTCTATAGCAGATGGATTAATGTATTGAGCAATAACTTGAGTCATATATGTGTAACTTTCTTGACCCATTCTATAGCAGATGGATTAATGTATTGAGCAATAATTTGAGTCAAGTATGTGTAACTTTCTTGACCCATTCTAAAGCAGATGGATTAATGTATTGAGCAATAATTTGAGTCAAGTATGTGTAACTTTCTTGACCCATTCTATAGCAGACGGATTAATGTATTGAGCAATAATTTGAGTCAAGTATGTGTAACTTTCTTGACCATATAACAGGCAGATTAATGTATTGAGCAACGACTGGAATCAATTATATGTAACTTTCTTGCCTCATTCGCCTGTAACACAAATACGTTTGTTTTTTAAATACCTAAATAAATAATCGACGTGCCTCACTGAATAACATTAGTAGGTTTTTCTAAATAATCTTCAAAACATTTTTTTTGTTTTAGTCAAGTGCTCTTGCTGTTTTGTTTGCTGAAAAAAATTTCAGTTGAAACTATTTTTTTTTTCAATGTTCTGAAAAATCCTTCTATGGAGCTTCATAGTTACTTGTCTGTAAATTCAGTTGTATTATCAGCTCAACAGGATTCAGTCTTTCTTTTCCTTCCATAGCCTTCACTGGCTGCAAACTGTGGCAGGAGAATTCTGGTTGTTCATCCCTAGACTTTAGTCTTGTACATCCATTTTGTTTATTGGTATGCAGAATGTTGGTTCCTCATCTTTCAGGCAAATACACCCCAACTAAAAAAAAACACCCCTAATTAGTCGCCTTTTTTTCCATTGTAAATTAAAGCTTTTTGTACAAAGTTTATGTTAATTGTGACAGATATTGCATGATGACAAAGCCACATATTAGACCTTTTTTTTTTTGGGTAGGCATGAGACATACCTTTTTATTTTTAATAGATCACTTTTTCAGTCTCCTGTCTTTGCATTTTAAAAACCTGTTGCTATCATGGCTTTTCTTGAGTTGGTTTAGGGCGCTGATTCTCAACTTCTTTATACCGTGACCCTTTAATACAGTTCCTCATGTTGCGTTGACCCTAAACCATAAAATATTTTCATTGTTGCTTCATAACTTCAGTAAATATGTGTTTTTCAATGGTCTTAGGTGACCTATGTAAAATGGCCATTCGACTCCCAAAGAGGTTGCAACCCACAGGTTAAGAACCGCTCATTTAGGGTCTATATTTTGTGGAGAAGTGAATAGATGAAGTCCTTTCTTCTCTTGCTTGCTTGGGCTTATTGTATTCAGATAGTTCCTTTGATATATTACCATTGTTTAAAGGAATGCTTAAGGAAGATTCTGTGGTCTTCTTCTTCTGCATTTCTAACCCCCCAGTAGAGCATAGACCCTCAACCAACTCATGCCAAGTCGTTCTATCCTTTGCTATCGCAGGCAGCTTCCCCATGTCCTCCCTATCTTTTTAACTTTACTCTCTAACTCTCTAGCCCCCTTCTCCGTGTGTTTTTGTTTTGTTTTGTGTTTTCCTTTATTTCTATACCCTGTGGGTTCCAGTGCAAACACATTCTTGTTATATTCTTCTCAGGTTTTCTCAACATGTGTCCTATCCAATGCCAGCGTCCTTTATTTAACTCTTGGTCCACTGGAACTTGTTTAGAGTTCTCTCCCAAAGCTCTACATTAGTGATTCTATCATAAAATGTAATTCCCTCCATTCTGCGCAGGCACCAGTTAATGAATGTTTGTAGTTTGTTAGTAAATTCCCTAGCTGTTCTGTGTTAGCTGCAGTAAAATATGCAGGTTTATATAAATCTGGAATTTAAATGTGGGATGCTGTTCAGTTTCCAGGCCCAGGATTAGAGTAACATCCCTTACTGTTCATGCCTTCTTCAGGACCTCTCCTGTGTTTTCCTTATTGTGAACGCTTTAACTGTTGCTTTTTTTCTCATCTTCCCACCGCTTGAGTGATTATTTTCACGTTTTGCTACCTGCAGGACGGTTTGAGAGTATGGAAACAGCGATATTTTTCTATTCCTACACTCCTTGTAACTGCTTTCTTTTTGTCAGAGGGAAGCCACCACTAATGAATGTAGAAACACAAAAACATCCCAGTTTAGAAAGCCAAGAATGGTCGTGCCTGCGGCGCTTCCCCTGTAGTACTTCTTACTTTTACACAGGCGCCTGTGGCACCTAAATAGACTCACAACAACACAACCTCCTACAAACATTACATACACCAAGCAAATGCCAAACCAAGCCATATCATAACATCCCCACAATATAGGAGAGGTCCAGCGACTTAAGGAGGCATGAATGGCAGGGGAAGTTACTCTAATCCTGGACTTGGAAACGTGAACAGGACTAAATGTGGATCCAGCAAGAAAGGAGATATGAGAGGAAGAGTGTAACGTGTTTACAACCAGTGTGCTACTGGAACAGTCAGCATCTAATACCTTCAGACATTTGTGGCAGCAGATGGAGCATCTGTAAGTAAGCACTGATGTTGATTTTCAAATCGGTAATAAGTAATACCACTGTAACGTGTTTGTTTTGTTTTGTCTCATTTTGCAGACCAATATCTGAGAGGGCTCGCCTTATCAGCAGAAATTTTATGATGAACATTGGAGACAGGATGATGGGCACTCGCAGATCTCCAGTTTCTTGTAAGTTCAGGTCTAGTTTTGTATACATCATTAGTTTTAGTAGCAGATGCATTCTCACACTCTAACGTTGATGTATGGATGGTCTTCATGTAATAAAGACACAGTTGTAACAAAAAATTTATTAATGTTTATTATCATTATGTTTTTATGTAGATAATGTCCAGAAACTGCAACAGATGTCATCTGCTTGGATGTTTTTTCCTGATTAAAAACAGTGACAAAAACATAATTACTCTTTGCATATTATGTTTTCATAATTTCAAAAGATGATGCATACAATTTTTTTTCTGTTTCAGGAAATATGTTTTTTTTTTAATTTAATTTGCTTTTTCAGTCATAATAATTGCTGTTTTTTTTTTTTACAGTCTTCTCCTTAGAAAATTATGATGTGTTTAAATTAATTACTCTTTATTCACAGTAGCAGTATATAATTGTAAAGAATAATTATTTAAAAGTATGTTGTCTTTGCATTCTCCATCCCACATAATTGAGATGAAAATGACATTTATTAGTAAGTAAGTAAATTTACGGACCTCAACTACAGAGACCCCTGGGGATTGGCACTGGAATTATGTTGTTTGTGCTTTTTGCAACACCCTCCGCAGGCATTTGACTGTTCTGCTGAGAGAGACTAGGCCATATGGGATAAAACCCAGTGCAGTGAAGTTGATCCTCTCTGGCCTTTAACCTTTAACCTTTTGGTCAGGACCCCCACCCTGACCTTCTGATCCACAGGTGAGCACCAAGTTGCTTTACCATGGCAACTCCCATGAAAGTTAGTACATGATACTTATCTAAGTTTCAGATTCATTAATGCACAGTAGGTCTTGTTCAGCTCTGACTGTGCATACTTCAAGAGTAGACCAGAGATATCACCAGAAACATGTAGAACATATATCATTTTCTTGCATTTCTGGAGTTGTTGCCACAGACTAGCTGGATCTTGGTTTGCCAAGTCTGTTTTGAGCTATGTTTAGCTGCAACAATAGTAGTAGCAGCAGCAGCGACAGTAGGGTGTGTAATCATTGCAACAGTAGTTCTAGTGCAGCACTGATACCTGTTTTCACTAGCTAGTATAGTATAGTAGTTTAGTATGTTATTTACTGCAAGAATGGTTAAACAGTACATTCTCAGGAATTTGAAATCCTTCTTCCTCTATAGCATGTTACTTAAAATATTTGAATTCCCATCTTCTTTGCATGGTTTTCTTTAAGTTATTAACATCTTGTCACATCACATTTTGGTGCAAGGTTGTGAGTTTTTTCACAATTAGATAAAGATCACACCATTGTTTTCAATATTAAATTACAGTTTTGAAGTGTTGCCTTCCTTTTATAATTCTGAAATACGCCAAAGCCACAATTTTAATGTCTAGATTTGGCCTGGAAGTTTTAGAATAGATGCATTTTAAAGTCTTTTGAGAATATTCTTTCATTATTAAAAAAAAGAGAAAAAATCACAGTTAAAAATCCTGAAGCACATTTTAGTTTGGCTTAGAAGTATTCTGTGTCTGTTGTTTTATTTCTTTCAGGCAAATTCGAGTAATCTCTAGCAAAAAGGAAAAAGGTCCTTTTAAAGAAATGTTAAGGAAATAAGCAAAAGCTAGGTACAAACCTTTCACAGTTATTAGCATCAAATAATTTCTTAAGGAATCATAGTGATATTTTATTTGATAGCGGAAGAGCTCATAGAATGAGTTACAGTCATTAGTGATATGTTTACAAAAATATACAAATTTGTTAGTCCTTAGGGTTCTATGTGAGATTTGACTCTCAACATAGCTTTTTTTTTTTTTTTTTTTGAAAAATATGTTGACTATAATCAATAGAAATGCATTAAAAAAAAAAGGTAACTCCTCACTACAAAGTGTCTATTACAGTAGTGCTGAAAATGATGCCCTTAAAACATTTGTTGCTGGTAAAGCTTACTGTTGCATACCACTACTAAAAAGCCCTGTTTCTAAAGTAAAGATGGCCATTACTTCCATGAGGATCACCAGCATACTTCGTTGTATCAAGGGCCAAGATTGTGATAATGCAAACACCTTGTGCAGCATCTGTAGCTGGTGTGTTGCAAAGGCTATTAGTAATTCTGAGAAAATCAGTTTGACTCCAGCCTCTGGTGATTGGGCAGCAGACAACTTTGCCTTGATTTCAGTAATGGTATCGAGAGCTGACTGTTCAGAAAGTTGTGGCTAACTGTTGAACGTAAAATTGCCCAGTGAAATCACAAACAGCTGCACACAGAAAATTGCTGGAGCTGGTTCTGCAGTGTCCTATAAAGGATACACAGCTAACTAATCAACACTTCACACCCGTATCTGGGACTGTCTTTACTTTATACAGGCAGATATAAGGTGACGCAAAGTACTATAATGGTAACTGGAGGATGCTACTACTTAAAGGTTTGAAACATAACAACCCGAAGAGCCGCATTCTCCTCCTTCACGTTCACATAAATTCTGGCAGAAAGTTATTCATCCTTATATGGACTTTGATCTTCATCCAGAACTTGAGTTGTGTGTGCAGACCCGGCTCGTTTGTATGCAAACTGTTGATTCCTTGTCTCTGAATCAAATACACTACAGCGTTGAAGGAAACGCCCCTAATTAGCCGCCTCCTATGGTAGGCTTGTTAGGGAGGGCAGTGAGTCTATTCTTTGTCCTCCAAAACGGTGCGAGTGTACGGCCATACACAGGGAAGGAGCTGCATTGTGGAGTGGATGCCAATCCGGCATGGCAATCCTACACTGCTTTGTAAAAGTATAGTTTGGGCTACACAAAGCATTATTCTGGTGTTTCCAGCTGTCCTTAATGGTTAAGGAATTGGCCTGATTATTACCTTCACTATTGTGCTTTTTGTCATGCAACCCTACAACCCATGATTGGGTCATGAACCCTACAACCCATGATTGGGTCATGAACCCTATAACCCATGATTGGGTTACTGGTTTAGAATAGGACTAATTGTCCCATTTATTTTCTGATTTAAAATATATGCAGAATTTATATTTATCGTACTAGTACATAAAAGTCAGCATTTTTTTTTTTCCAAGTTAGAAATTCAGGGCATCTGCAACTACTAGACTTTCTTTAGCAATCTCTAGTAATTCGCTTAATCCACTGTAGGCCATATACTGGCGCGCGACTACTGAGATGTCCATATATGTCTATCCCCTAAAAAGTGATTGATACATTCTGTTTCTGGTGACAGCTTTTTCTTTTGTTAGTTCTATACAGTTGCAGTTCACTACTGATAGGATCTGTCTTCTCAGATAGTGGACTGCAATAATCTTAGCGCAGTCTTAGCATATCCAGTAGCATACACATACATTAAATGCCTGAGGTAGCCATCAGAAGTGCTAACACAAGCAGTCCAACACTAGAATTGCAGTTCACTATCGACGGAAGCAGCAGTTAACGGGTCAGTAGTTGCACATGTGATTAGTCACACAAGGCTCCAACATTTTGTTCTTTGGCAACATGCCACTTGCCGTTTTCTGAATCTGCAGTTTACAACACAAACCACATTGTTCACAGTTGAAAAACATTTCAGATTAAATCCGCAGCTCGGTAGCTGGGCCATGAACCCAAATCCTTTCAGTCCACATACAAAGGAAAATACAACAACCAACTATTGTCAGAAGTAAATACTTGTCGTGACTAAAACAAGTTAGCCTGTCTATCCACCATATTGACCTGAAGTCCATTAAACAAGTATCAAGGATGCTGTGCTTTTTCTTTTGTTTTCACTCTTTGCACCAGACATTTTATTTTTATTTCCTTCCACTAAAGCCCAAGACGCACCAGAAGTTGTTGCACGTAAGTTTTCTTTTCTTTCTTTACGTTTCGGATGAGTCTGGTGGTATTTACTCTGAACTATTATGATTCTGTCCATCTGCATGCACTGTACATTGAGTTAAGACACTGGTTTTGTTCCAAGTTGTTTAAATGCCTTGTTTTGCTAACCTGTCTGCTACTTTGTGCAGTTCTTTAGATTAGATGCTGCTGTTCTGTGTTCTAATTTGGGGTATGATACAACAGTATTAGGAAATGTGATGTACCATGAAATAAAGATGCTAAAATATGTGCTTTGGGAGGGTAATGGGGCAGTTGCTAGTGCTATCAGAAACATACATATGTTGCATTGGTCAAGTTTCCTGTTGCTGTTGTAAATTTATTACAAGTCATTATTTTGGGTGTCTGGTTTTTTTTGTTTTTTTTTTAATCTGTTGTGTCCTATCTCTGATGGCACAATAAATGTTTCTATGTTACTACTGTTTTTACCCATGGTAACATAATGGTTCATGTGCTGGCTTCCTAACATAATGGTTCATGTTCTCAGATACAAACATAATGGTTAATGTGCTAACTTAGCAACAGTAATGATTAATGTGCTCAGCTCCACTTACCAACATAATGGTTTGTTTGCTAAAATATTAACAAAATGGTCAACGTGCTCACCTACCAACATAATAGTTAATTTACTCGCTTACCAACTTACTGGTTAATGTACTCACATAGCCACATACCTGACATAATATTTTTTGTGCTCACATACCTACATAATGGTTAGTATAATGTTTAATGTGCTCACATACTAAAATGATGGTTAGTGCGTTCACATACTAAAATAATGGTTAGTATGCCCACATATCAACATGATGTTTAGTCTGCTCACATACCAACATACTGGTTAGTATGCCCACATATCAACATGATGTTTAGTCTGCTCACATACCAACATAATGGTTAGTGTGCTCACTTACCAACATAATGTTTAGTCTGCTCACATACTAACATAATGGTTAGTGTGCTCACTTACCAACATAATGTTTAGTCTGCTCACATACCAACATAATGGTTAGTGTGCTCACATACTAACATAATGGTTTATGCTCACATACCAATATAATGTTTAATGTGCTCACTTCCTAACAAAATGGTTATTGTGCTCACATGCAAACATAATGTTTAGTGTGCTGACATACTAAAATAATTGTTAGTGTGCCCAATACCAACATAATGTTTAGTATGCTCACATACCAACATAATGGTTATTGTGCTCACATACCAATATAATAGTATGCTCACATACCAACATAATGTTTAGTGTGCTGAAATTCCAAAAAAATGGTAAGTGTGCTCACATCCAGACATAATGTTTAGTGTGCTCACATCAAGACATAATGTTTAGTGTGCTCACATACCAACATAATGGTCAGTTGCTAACATACTAACATAATATTGTGTGTGCTCACATACCAACATAATGGTTAGTTGCTAACATACTAACATAATATTGTGTGTGCTCACATACTAACATAATGGTTAGTGTGCTCACATACCAACATAATATTTGTGTGTGCTCACATACTACATAATAATGGTTAGTGTGCTCACATAACTAACATACATAACATAATATTAGTGTGCTCACATACCAACATAATGGTTAGTTTCTCACAAACTAATATAATGTATAGTGTGCTCACATACTAACATAATGGTTAGTTACTCACATACTAACATAAGGGTTAGTTTGCTCACATACTAACATAACAGTTAGTGATCTCATTTACCAGCGCTAACAGTAATTTTTTTTTTGTTTTTTTTTGTTCAAGACTACAAATTTACAGTGCCTAGGTTTATGACGATTGCTTTTGTTAAATTTTTTAATAATTTTTTTTCTAATTGCTTAGGAATCATAGATACCCCCTCCATCTTTTGAAGAAGGAACCTAAATAAAGGTCCCTTTTTTACACCAGTGGCACATGGTGCTAGACCTATTCTTTTCTTATAGGCCCACAAGCACTTAGTGGGTGGTTTGGTCAACATTGTGTCTACCACCTTTACTTCCCAGAACATTACCTGGTACCCATTTGAGACTGGGTTAGCCTGAGAGCCAAGGTTATTTTTTAGGGGGGGGGGGGGGGGGAAAATCTGAATCAGTGCAGATTCGAACCCATGACCTTCAGGTCAGAAGGTGAGTGTCTAGTCACTACACCACCACAGCTCTAAAGAATTGATCTAGTGTATGTTCTTCATCTTCTTCTTCTTCTTCTTAGCGGTCAACAGCTGTAATCTTTAGCAGAAAGTTCTGGTTGTTCATCATCCACTTCTGGACTTTGGTCTTGTTACTGAACTAGAGTTTTGCATGCAGATTCACTTCACAGATCTGGCTTATTTATATACAGACTGTTGATTCCTTACCTCTCAAGCAGATGCGCTGAGACTTCATAGAAAACTCCCATAATTATTCTGTGTCTACAGCAGGCTTTGTTAAGTGGGTCCGTTCCTCCTCCCCCCCCCCCCCCCCCCCACACCCCCATTTTCACCCCCCAACCCCATAATTGAGTCCTGGAGCCCACACAGGGATTAGTGTTTATAAAATCTCTGTTATTGTCTACCTGTCTGTCCTGGGGTGTAGAGATTCTTGATTTTGTCATCATCACATTATTATTTCTAAGACCACTGCAAGGTTTTCATACTTTTAGCCATGGGAGCCTTTAGCCGACATGGTATAGATCTGAAGGTCGTGGGTTTATTTCATGGATGATTTTTTCTTCCCGGTTTTCTTCTTTACATTCATCAGATGTAAACTCTGGCAGAAATGTATGTTTGTTGACTTCTGGACATTACCCTTGTTCCAGAACTTGAGCTTTGCATGCACATCCATTTTACATACCTGGCCTATTTGTATGCATACTGTTGGTTCCTTGCCTCTCGGGCCGATGCACTCCAATTTCGAAGGACACCCATAATTAGTTGAATTTTTTCGAAATGCTTCTTAGGGAAGCGGTGGGTCTGACCTTTTCCCCCCACAGGGAGTCCTGGAACCCACACGGGGATCTAGTGTGTGTAAAATCCCAGTCATTGCACATCTCTGCAGAATTCTTTGCTGTAGTGTTACCTGTACCTGGCTTACACATTTGTTTTGTATTTTTTGTGTGTTTAACTCTTTTATTGCCAGATGGTTCAACTGACTGAGGCTTCTTGTAAGGAAAACAGCGACTGTGAAAAAAATTTGACAGAATTGCTTTTAAACAAAAAAATGCAAAATGAAGAATAGAAGGAGAAGAAAAAGAAGAATTGAATGAATACACTAGATAAAAGGCGGAAAGGGGATGAAATGGAACTGGACTGTGGACATGCCAGATTTCTTTAATATGCTATGACCTAATGTTTAAAAACAAAAAGTGAGAAAACACATGACATAGTGGCTAGGACTCACAATAAAGAGTTAATCAAACATGCATTGCTTGGAACACTGAAATAGTTATTTATTTACTATTGCTTATAGGTTACTAAATAATTAACGTTCTTTTTGTTTTTTAATGGAAAATGAGAGGGGGGGGGGGGGGGGTTCTTTGTTTTAGTCCTACTTTTTCTATCCTGGGTTGTAGAGGTAGTTTATTTTGTCATCACATTGTTGTTGTTTTTTCTAAGACCACTGTAAGTATTAACAATTTTGACCATAGGGGTCTCGGGACCAAATGGTCAATATCTGAAGGTCATGGGATCATTTCACGGACACATCGTCTAGTTCACAAATGCAGTTTTTATATGAAGATCCCTGAGGACAGTTGCTAGTTCTGTGGAGTTCACGTGATCTGACCTCTCAGCAGGTGGCTAGGATGAAGCCATACGAGATACCTTCAACAGTGAAGCTGATCCTCTTGACTTTTAACTTTAATTTGTAAGCTTTCAGCCAGGTCCATGTGGCTTGTTATCACTTAGTTTGTACACAGTAGTCAAGCCTTGTGTAGGTCTGTTTGTAGGTACATGATTGTCCCCATAATTCATCATCATCTTCATCATGTAGCAGCACCTTTAACAACTTTGCTCCTATCACAGCACGCCTGAAAGAAACTCAGTTCCTCACCTGCTGTCCGCCTCATGCACTTTCCTGCCCAAAGCATTTGTTATGCCCTGTGCCCCTCTTTGTGGTTAGGTTGTTTACCTGTCTTTCTTACTCAGTACCATGCTCCTGGCTACTGTTCTTTCTATTCTGCCGTGGAGTTTTATGTGGCCAAAGTATTCAATTTTCCGAGATAAGATTCAATTTATGAGCC